CAGTTCATTGGGAAGAGGCTGGAGTTGGGAGCTGGAGGCCAGGGTCTGGTGTCATCTGAGGGCAGTCAGGCACGGATTTCACATCTGGAAGAGCCTAGAGTTGGGCTTCTTTTCGAAAGAAAAAAAAAAGCCTATCAAATTTCCAAGCGGTGGTTAAGAGGACTCACTGCCCTTCCAGAGAACCAAAGTTCAGTTCCCAGCACCCTTGTTTGCTGGTTCATGACCACCTGTGACTCAAGCCCCAGGGGATCCAGTACCCACTTTTGGTCTCCTTGGGCACCCACAGCATATCCCTCACACAGGATGCATACCCACAAATGCAAAATTTAAAAAAAAATTAAGTTTAAATTGATTTAAAAGTTTGCTGTGCAAGCAAGCAGCAGCATTCTCATGCGTGAGTGGACAGGGCAAGTTTTCAACTGGGAAAAGGTGGAACTGCTGGGCATTCGTTTGCTAAGAGGGATGTGCGGGGTGGGAATTCGCCAGGAGACCAACTCTTCGAAATCTAGCTCACCACGCACGTCCAGAGAGCAGTATGGAGACAAGTGAGAAGAGAGAGGCCCACGCTGGAACTCCTGGTGGTTTCCATTGGAGACTGTGCTAGCTCATGTCAACCAGACACAAGCTGAGGTCACCCAAGAGGAAGGAACCTCATTGAGAAATCATAGATCAAGCTGTAGGCAAGCCTATAGGGCATTTTCTTAATTAGTGATTGATGGGAGGAGGGCAGCTCAGGAGGTGACACCCCTGGACTGGTGGTCCTGGGTTCTACAAGAAAGCAGGCCAAACAAGCCATGATGAGCAAGCCAGTAAGCAGCACCCCTCGGTGGTGGCCTCCGCATCAGCTCCTGCCTCCAAGTTCCTGTCCTGACCCTTGAGGATAAACAGTGATGTGGAAGTTTAAGCCGAATTAACCCTTTCCTTTCCAAGTTGCCTTTGGTCATGGTGTTTCATCACAATAATAGTAACCTTAAGACAGAGGCAGATAGTTTGTTGTTGTTATTGTTGCTTGGGGTTTTGTTTTGTAGTTTGGGATTTATTTGTTGTTGTTTTAGTATCTTTAATATCTTGTTATGTAGCCCACATGGGACCTCAGTGTCTTCCTGCCTCAGTCTCCCAGGTGCTGGGATGATAAGCACATGCCTCCATGTCCAGATGATTTGCTGGCTTTTCAAGAGCACACCTCCACCCACACCCAGTCCGTCACACGAGTGCATTCAGATCTATGTGTCTGTTCACGCTTTTATGAACATGCCGGAGACCTTGCACGGTGACCCTGCAAGAGCCAGTGTGGCTAACGATCCCTAAAGTCACTATGGTTGGTGACAATGCGGCAGTTCTATATGTCATCCCTGTGCCAGGCCTCAAAACTGGCCCCTTTGCCGGCAGCGCCCTCCCTCTGTCCTACCAGAGAAGGGAGCCTGGAGGCTCAGGGACCGGGTCAGCTAGTGTTCCTTCCCTGACTTGCCTGTCACCAGTGCTGCATGGAGCTTTTCTGAATCTCAAACGCCCCTGCATCTGTTACATGCAACTGAATGATGCACAGAGATGGTGAGGACAGAAGTCGTTAGAGCTATGCTCAGCTGTAGGTACTGAGTTAGCCGCAGCACGTCAGCCCTCCAGGCCGTGGCGACGCCCAACTAAGGCTACTGCCTTAGACTTTCCAGATGGAATCAGCCACTCTGCAGAAGCTCCGACCCCAAGGAACTTTCCAGGAGCCTTTCTGGCTCCCCAAAATGTTGGGCCTTAAAGGATAGCTCTGAATAGCACAGAGAAACACTTCTAGAGAGAATGCCCTTCATCGTTGACCTTGCTTTCTGCAGTCAAGCGTACCTGTGAGTGAGGAGAGGAAGGGCATTGAGTGCCCCAGGGGGGACAGCCTCCCCAAACTGGCAGCTCCTTCTGCCCATGTCCCTGTCTGTCTGTCTCTTCTCCCTCATTCCTGCACTTCTCACTAGGAGGACAGAGCTGGGTAGAGCTGCAGCAGCCAGGAAAGCTCTTCTGCATTGCAGCTCTGAGCTATGTGAGACAAAGAGAGAGATTGCCACCTATTGACAGACAAGTCACCTGCAAAGAGAAGACTTGTGTAACTGGGGCCCCTCCCCCCATCCCTGTGCTCTGTCAAAGGCCCTCCAGGGACTTCCAGGGCCCTTTCCTTTTGCCCTCAGCAGTACCTTCCCACTGTTAGTGAGGACGGGGAAGAATGTGCCGGTGACAGTCCAAGGTGACTGTGACAACACTGCAGAGGGAAAACTGAAAATAAACCACCCACTGCAGTGACAGCCACTTCCTGTTGCATAGCACACAGCCTGCCCCTTTTAATTCTCAATGTAGTTCCAACCGTCAGTGTTGCATGTTTGCACCCGAGGAAACAGGTTTCAAGAGAATGCCCTGCTCATGACCATGACCGCGGCAGACACGGAAGAGCGTTGAATATGAGTCGGGTATCGGATCTCAATGCCTAATACACTCAGCCCGGCCTCCTCATACCTCCTATTGTAGCACCCATATTCCCACTATAAGTTCCCTAGCCTAAGTCATATGGATGTAAAAATAAATCAAACATGGAAGAATTGCTTCCCTTTGGTTGGAGGCAGATCCAACTCGGTTGCTTTTTGGCCCTGGGTCTCTAAGGTCAGCCTCCTCATCTGTAAAATGGGGACGACATGACCTCAGGGTTAGGGATTTACAGAGCTTAGGGAGCTTAGGGAGCATCGCCAGTAGTCGGGCACGTTGCAGGGTGCCAGGTGTTTATGAATGGGTGATTAGTCACCCGTGCGCTGAATACAAGGTCCTCCCTTTTTTTGGTTTTAGGACCTTAGGCAAATTATTTGACCTTTTGGAGCCTCAATTTCCTTATTTGTAAAATGGGGTTAATAATTCTTATTGGCTTAGCCATGCAATAAGGTAAAATCATGTGTATGGAAACATTTTGCAAGTTTTAATTGCCCTCTTCAAATATTAGTTGTTAGGCTGTAAGGAAAAGGTATTCTCCAAACGTAGCTTTGAGAACTGCTTCTGCAAACGACTTGGGTTGAATTCAGCCGCCACAGAACAGCTTTTATCTGTATTATTTACCAAAAAAGCATTGGGGTGAGACAGCTCAGTGGGTAAAGGCTCTTGTGGCCAAGCCTGGCAACTGAGTTTGATTCCTGAAACTTACCGGATGGAGAGAGAGACCCCACTCCCGAAAGTTGTCTTCTGACTTCCACACATACCCTGGCAGATGCACCCTCCCGCACTCACCAGATACACAATAACCATACACATGAGACAAAGTGCTCTGAACGCTGCTGGTCTTCTAAGCTGTTCCCATGGATCACACTTTTGGACTATCTATTTACTCCTGTTTCGCAGACGAGGAAATAAGTGGCTAGAAGAATCAGAGGGACTAATTTGGGACACGCGGGGAACATTCGAGTGCAGACACATGCCCAAGCTCCCTGTCGTGTGCGTCTGTGCATCTCTTGTTCATTTCATGGACCCACGGGTTAAAGAGTTAGGGAAGGGAAGAGGGCACCCGAGGTGTTTTTGTTGTTGTTTTGTTTTTTGACAACAATCAGCAATCTCTTTTCTTCTCCCTACTTGCTTTGCTTTATCCTCCAAGGTCCAGCTCCCACAGAACTGGAGGGCCCTGTCTGTCTGAATTTTTATCCACCCCATTCCCTACCCCACCCCGTTTAGGAAACAGACATCTAAATCCATTCTTCCAACCTTTGAGAATTACTTCCTCTTTTCTTCACTGTTTGCCAGCTTTTATGAATTCTCCGTAGCAACATAAAGGGGGCGGAGTTTAGCAACAGCATGTAAACCAATGATATGTGAAAATTCAAATGAGCTATAAACCAATGAGAACCCTGCATGGCAGGCAAGCTGGCTTATGGGAGAAAAGAAAAGACTGGAGTTTGCAAAGTAGCCTCCAGGTGGCAGCAGAGCAGTTATTTTGCTGTCTCACGGCTCTCTTGGGGTTTTGTTTTGGTTTGTTTTTGACCAGTTCTTGATTCCCCGGTTAAGATATATTCTGTTCGAGCCTTGAGGGTTTGAGTCCTTTAGAGGACGTGGTAGGAGAGGACTAGAAGCGTGGATGTTGTCTTAACCGCAATCATTCCTAGGCTTCTTCCATCTTTTGTTTTGTAGCCAGCTCCAGCCCAGTAGGCTTAGGCAGGAAGCTTGTAGCAAATCCCGTTCTCTGCACGTACACCACGACTGTAGGATGCGTGGTGAAAGATGGAGGGCTGGCCCTCTACCATCGGGAAAAGGGAGTAAAGGGATGTGCCACCAACAAATTGAGCCTATCAACGCTCCCATTTTCATAGGGCATTCAGACCTTCCTTTCCGTTACATCTGTCTGAACACCAAGAGGCTTGTGGGCCATTCTACTCACTTTGGGGTGCTTTGGTCCTCTTTATCTTGTATCCTGAGCACGCACAGTGACTGAATATCAAACAATAGCATGTCCGCGTTTTAGTCATCCTTCTCCTGTCTTTTGAGATGGCATTGCTGTGAACACCTCTTGGTGTTCGGATGTCTGGATGCGTCTCCCGTGTTTCCATTTCTTCCTGGCTTAGTCTTCTCATCCTTAAAGATGGAATCTTCAGAAAGTCTCACCCGATTCTTTCATACACAGTTGCTCCCTGGAGCTCCCACGGTGACACTCTCATATATGTGTCCTAAGTGCTTCCTCTCTGAGAGCCACAGAGCTCATGAGACCAAAGCCCTTTGTATCTCACCCTGGCACAGTGCGAGCTTTATCACAAAGTGCACAATGCATATATATTTTTTAAATGAGGAGGAAAGCAAGAAAGTCATTCTTGCTTTGCTCTTAGGGGAACAGTCTGGGGTTCCCAAACCTGAGCCAGAACAGTACCTGTGAGTGCCCGTTATTGGAGGACAACGTCAGGGAGACAAAGTCCCAAGGCTGAAAGGTCGTGACCACCATTGTTTTATCCTGCAGTGGGCTTGTCTCAATAATGTGGTTCCCTTTATGATTTGTGTTTTAGGAAGAACCAAGGAGCAAATCCAAGATCTGCGCCAATGTGTTCTGTGGAGCTGGCCGGGAGTGTGCAGTCACAGAGAAGGGGGAGCCCACATGCCTCTGCATTGAGGTAGGTCCTGATGGCGAGCGTGGGGGAGGGCAGCAGCTGGAAAGTTGCAGGAATCCCGTCATTTCTATAAACACACAACGTGTCTGTTCTAAAGACACAAGGAAAGCTTCCCCTAGGGTTAAGAGTGAAACTTCTGGTTTTTAAATTAAATTTTAAAAGAGATAGCGTTTCATTTATTTTTTTTTTAAAAAAAAAAAGTTTAGGGAGGCTAGGGAGCTAGCTCAGCAGGAAACATGCTTGCTGCATTATGTTCAGAGCCTCGGGATCTACACAGATGCCTCGTATAGCAGCAGCAGTCTGTGACCCCACTGGAGGAGAGGGGCAAATCCATAGAGAGCATTGACCGGTCGGTCATTCTAGCCAAATCATGAGCTTCAGGCGTAGTGAGAACTCTGTCTCAGAAAATCATACAGAGAACTAAAGACGATACCTCTGGTCAATATGTGTGTGTGTGTGTGTGTGTGAATGAATGAACATTGTGTGTGTGTGTGCACATGCACACACGTGCGTACACATATGATACATATATCTGGAAATGGAACCAGTTTAGATGTCCGCCAGCAGATGAACAGATGCTGAAAATGTGGTCCATATACACAATGAAACATTATTCAGCTGTAAAGAAAAACTTGCATTTGTAGAAAATAGGTGGACCTGGAAGGTGAGATTTAAGTGAGGTGACACACACTCAGAGAGAAAGAACACATGTTCTCTTGTGTGGCTCCTATGCAGTGTAAAGAGGTAGAAGGGTGGGTGTAGTCTCAAAGGTGAAAACGGGCTTGAGAGACCACAGTGAGGAAGAATGGAATGTAGACCAAAGGACATGTGAGTCATGAAAGCGGATATACTGAAACGTTTGTGTCTAGTTTCAAATCTGTCAGAGTTTCTGTCTTTTGAGGTTTTGGTTTGTTTCTCATGCTGGAGGTTGAAGCTCAACTTTCTAGGTGTGAAGTAACAAGAACTGCTCAGCTTTCCCTAGGAATCTAGTGTTAGTCCTTTGAGGCAATGATTGCAAAGCTGAGCTATCTTTAATTCCACTGACCACTGATGTAGCAGGAAATAGCCACACCTGGTCTGACACATGCCTTTAATCCCAGCACTTGGAAAGCAGAGGCAGAGACAGGCAGATCTCTATGAGTTTGAGGCCAGCCTGCTCTACAAGAACTAGTTCCAGGACAGGCTCCAAAGCTACAGAGAAACCCTGTCTCGAAAAACCAAAAAAATAAAAAATTTAAAAATTTTAAAAAAATCTACCCGGTCGCCCCATTGTAATGTTATTTAATATGTAAAGTGTATTGAAATTAAATATGGTACTAAATTTTAAAATTTTTCTTCAAATTAGAAATTACCAATTGTTCTATGTCTCAAATAGTGTAGGTGTTTAGACATTTGTGCTACCAAAGTCTCGGTTCTCCTTAGTCTGAGGTAACTGGCATTAGCAGCACTTCTAAACACCAGAGCTTCCCCTGTTTTATACAAACTACTATTTCCACACTTGCGTGTGTGAGTTTGTACTCTGAAGTCTGTGGTGTGCTGTGGCCTCCTCTCGGATCCACACGAATTTGACCTTTCATCAGACACTGAATAGTATTTAGTGATGTAACTTTATTCACTCGTTTCCTTGGCGACGGGTGTGTTAGTGGTTCTCTGGGCTCTTAGCTGCCACAGCAGCAGCATCCTTTTGCCAATACCTTTATTTCTTAGAACTGATGGTCACTGGGGGACTGCTGGGTCAAAGGATATGCAAATTTTTAAATTGTCAGACAGAATGTGGACTTTGAAGTTTTGTTTTTAAATGGCATTTGGAAGTCAAAATGAGCCTCTGAGAAACAGGCAAGACTTTAATTTTCATTCTTGATGTGGATGTAAATAACACAGGCCATGGGCTTTTCCATCCTCCCTTCTGTCAAGGAGCTCCATACCCTGGAAATGGGCTTTTCTGTAAATAATACCTTGCTAATCTCTGGACCCTGATTCACTGCACCTGAAGGGAAAGCGTACCAACTTCCTAAAGCCTGGTCCTGCTAGGATCCCTTCACCCTTGCTGTCTGAGCAGAGTGTCAGCTTGTCCTTGGATAGTCATGGGATTTTGAGCAAACGAATTCCCGGGACTTGCTGTAAAGATGAGCCCGTGTTGGTTTTGTCCAGCACCCGAAACAGCAAGTACTCCGCGGTGAATGTTGGCTGACGAATAAGTGAAGTTCACCTTTCCTGCCTTGGGGAGCTTCATGTACAAAATGTAGGGATGGGACTTCTTTCCTGCTCAGGAAGGGCGTGCAACCATTTTAACATCTGTCCTCTTGTCTCTGTGCCTCTAGCAGCCCTAGCTCGCCTGCAAGCCAGATGAACTTTATTCCATATTTCTGTCCATAATGATTTCCTGTTGTCGTTCACCCTCACTGCCTGCTGTACAACCGTGGTTGTGAAATTAGGCCAAAAGCTCAATGACTCCCAAATGCTGCGGAGAATATGGAATACTTGTAATTTGGCTCCAGAAAAATCAGGTTGTGTGTGGATGTGTGTGTGTGTGTATGTGTGTGTGTGTGTGTGTGTATGCATGTACGTGTGTGTGTGTGTGTATGCATGTGTGTGTGTGTGTGTGTGTGTGTGTGTGTACACTTGTGCATTGAGTTTCCATGCTCCCAGCTCTCATCTCTGTTCTTTTGTGTCATGGAAAGTAGGATTAGTTCATTTCTCTTTCCGTAACAAAATGCCTGAGCTGGGCACTTTCTAAGTCATATAGAAGTATACTTCTCACAGTGTCGGAGGCTACGGCCTGCAAGATCAAAACAAATTCACTTAATGTCTGGTGAGGGCCTGGTCTCCGCTTGCAAAAGAACCCTTGAACACAGCGTTCTCACGTGGCAAATGGTAAAAGGGCCAAAGGGTTCAAGGCTGTGTGAAATCCCTTTGGCAACCTTAATTCATAACTCGTTCGTGAGGAAGGAGCGCTGGTGACTTCGTCTCCTGAAAGCACAGCTTCTCTGTGCTGTTCCATTGGGAATACATATGTGCAAGCGAGTATTTCGGCCGCAGGACGGTGTTTGTGTACTCGCAAGTTGGCAATGAGCCAGGATGGACGGAGAGACGTGGAGAGCCCGAGGTAGTAGATGCCTGTTGTATCGAGTGCGGTAGAGTCACGGATGGTGACCAGAGTTGGGGTTCCCTGGGCCCTGGCGGCACACATGCTCCATCTCACCTGACAAGATGGCTGTGTGAGTGTGTGTTCTAGCTTGCGTGGCTGCACAGATATCCTCCCGCCCATCTGTTTCAGCAATGCAAACCTCACAAGAGACCTGTGTGCGGCAGTAATGGCAAGACCTACCTCAACCACTGTGAGCTTCACAGAGACGCCTGCCTCACTGGATCCAAGATCCAGGTGGACTATGACGGACACTGCAAAGGTAAGCTGTCATCGCTGAAGGGCGGGGCGCGTGACAGGGAGACAGAGGAGACGGAAACCAGAGCAGTGCGGCCTGGCTGACCACACAAGCACTTGGAGATGCTCCTTCCTGACCTTCAGGAGCCTGCTAGGTTTGACCTGGCCGACTGGGGCCTTCCCCACTACTTCCTGCGTCAGACCTGGAGCTCTCAGCATCGCCTGCAGCCAGAGAGCAAAGAAGGCGGCTGTATCAATAGTCAACAATGGTAAAAATGATCCTGAAAGGGCTCCCACGACTTTTAGAAAAAGTAGGTCAGTGTCTCCTTTTCCTTTTTTTTTTTTTTTTTTAATGTGGGCTTTTCTAGCCTAGTAATATGCTTCCTTTATTTCCCCTCTATCATCATGACCAGTTGGAAAGGTGGATTCCCAAGCATGGTTGCTTGTCACCAGACCTTTCCAAGTGTAGAGCCTGCCCAGCCATTCCATCTTTGGCTTTCCCTGGAAAAACACGAAGATTTATCCCAGACACCATTCTCCTCTCTCCCCTGTACAAAATTAATCTCTATATGAAGTTTTGAAATCTCAGGGACCACCCAGCCCACCAGGAAGAAGTATAAATTTAAAAAGGTAATTCATTGTCTGCAGGCAGGAAGGATCCCAATCCTTAGATCCTACAAGAAAGAAAAGGATGTAAGAATTGAAATCAGGGGGACTGGAGAGATGGCTCAGTGGTTAAGAGCACTAGATGTTCTTCCAGAGGGTCTGGGTTCAGTTCCCAGCACCCACATAGCAGATAGCAACCAGCTGTAACTCCAGTTCCAGGGGATCCAATGCCCTCTTCTGACCTGCAGGTACCAGGGATGCACAATAGTGCACAGACATAGATGCAGGCAAAACACCATACATATAAAATAAAAACAAACAAATCTTAATTTATAAAAAAAAGAATTTAAGGCAAAGTAATGTCAGTGTTGCAAGACTTCACAGTTTAATCCTAAAATCCTCAGCATATCCTTTTACCCTTACACATCTCCTTTTGTCTTGCAGAAAAGAAGTCCGTGAGTCCCTCTGCCAGCCCGAGTAAGTACCTGACCTCACTGCAGTGTGTGTGCATCTTAGGGAGGAGTCTTAACAGAGGAAGCGTCTTCCGCAGTCCCCAGTCCCCGCTGGGCTGCCAGGGTCATCTGTGGGGTCAGGACTTTTGATCCAGATCTGGTCTGAGCACAGCACACACAGCTCAGTAAAACCATGAGACTGCATTTCTCTCTCTCTCTCTCTCTCTCTCTCTCTCTCTCTCTCTCTCTATTTATTTAGACTGCATTTTTTAAATGTTCATCTGCTTTAGTGTCTGCCGGTCAAAGCAGCTGTTTGGGTCTAAATGTTAGCTGTTCTGAATTTTTGCTAAGTGGTGTCCTGTAGGGCCAGCCAGTGAGCCCTTCTTTCAGGGTCTTGTAAGACAGGCTCATGTCGTGGGCCCAGAGAAGTCAGAAGACACGGCTACTTTTGGAAAAGCCGGCCCAGCGACTGCCGTAGCTTTCTATCAAGATGCATTAAAATCTCAACGTGGCCTATAGGCCCAGCCCTCACAGTGATCCTGCAGGTCTCACCACGATTGCCTTAGAGTGACGGTAAAGAGGCTCATAGGGTCGAGTCAGCCCTAAATCATGCGGCTAGGAAGGACAGACTGGGAAATGCCCATATGTTCGCCCCTGGTCCTGTGCCCTCTCCCGGTCCTAGCATGTGCTGTCCTCCAGGAATTTCCTTTGGCCAGAGTCGGCTCCTCCCTGCTTTCCTACCCACGTGACTCCCACTTGTTCCCACGTAACAGCTGCCCAGAGCCAGGCTGAGGCGTGGCCCTTCCTTGGCCTTGTTTTCTCTTGTTTATAACAAAGGATGATGGGAGAATATTTTGAAAGGCTCAGTCTGTGAGAAAGGGAGAATTTGAGCAATCCAGCAGCATGAATAATGCATGTTTTCGTTTATTGATTTGTTAGCACGTTCAGCTCATCTCAGAAGCAGGAGAGCTACTTTAGAGGATGATTTTGCCCCATGCTCCATAACGTTCATAAAAACGTCCTTCATTTTTATTTCCTTATCTTTTTTCGTAAATAACAACTCCTCTGTTTCACCATTGTTTCAAGTTTCTAGTCCAGTGCTTCTCAACCTTTCTAACGCTGTGATCCTTTAATATAGTCCTTCATGTTGTCCTGACCCCCAACCATAAAATTAATTTTGTTGCTACTTTGTAACTGTGATTTTGCTACTGTTTTGTGATGTAAATATCTGATATGCAGGATATCTGATGTGCAACCCCAAGGGGGGTTGAGGTCTGTAGGTTGGGAACCACTGTTCTAATCTTATTTTTGCTACTGTTATGTAGCAAGATATATCGTAATGTAAATATCTAATATGCAGGATATCTGATGTGCAACCCCAAGAGGGGTTGAGAGCCCTAGGTTGGGAACCACTGTTCTTATCTTTATTCTGTACTCTGGGTGCGAT